ATACAACAGCTTCCATAGGAGGGGGGGGGGGGGGGGAGACTAGGATTGTTCAGATTGGGAAAGCAGTGATAGAGGGAGGAGATGATGGAGGTCTATCAAATAGTAAGTGGTATGGAGAAATTGAATAAGGAAGGGTTTATCTAATGCACAAACTGGGGTCACCCAATGAAATTAATAGGCAACGGGTTTAAAACAAACATAATGAAGTACTTCACACAATGCAGTCAACTTGTGGAAGTCCTCACCAGGAGATGCTGTAAAGTCCAAAAGTAAACTCGGTTAAAAAAATTAGCTAAATCCATGGAAGATAGGTCCATCAGCGGGTATTAGCCAAGAGGTCAGGATCACAACCCCATACTTATGTTCTTAAACTCCGACTTCAGGCAGCTTCTGTGCTAATGCTCTGCTGTGGAAAAGCTGTTGCTGGGCCACGAATTAATAGGGTTGCCAGATGCTTTCAACAAAAATACTGGACACACTTGATATTACATTGCAATCTACATTAATCTTATTTAGAAAATACTGGACATTTATATTTTCTCAATTTGTTTCCCAAACAGAGTTCAAATACTGGACTGTCCAGTTCAAAACCGGACACCTGGCAACCCTACTGATGAACCGGGACAGCTCAGCTCCCTCTCTGGGAGAGGTCAGCCTGACTCAGACAAGGAAAGTAGGGTTAGTTTGAGTTTTAAAAGCTTTTGAGTTGGGAGCTGAGAGAGAAGGAGAACAGCTTAGGGAATCTCTGCCTTCCCCAGACCCTATTTTCCTGCACCCAATAAAGTCCCAATAGTGTTGTTTTGGGTGTCATTCTTTTGCTGCAGTTGTGCTGTGTTTGTTTCTTAAGAGGTAACTTGATCGCAGTCTCTAAGGCATAGATTCTTAAAGTATGTAATGGCCTAAAATCCATGGATTAAATGTTAGATACCTAAAGACTTTTGAAGCTCTGAGTATAAGCACCTACACAGGGAGGCTTTCTGGTAGGAGCTCTTTAATTGAGCAGACAAAGGCATAAGAACCCCTAATGGCTGAAGCGAGACAAATTCCAATTGGACAAAGGGCACATTGAGGTAATTAACCATTGTAACAATTTACCAAATGATGTGGTGGAGTCTCCATCATTTGCCGTCTTAAAGTCAAGAGTGGATGTCTTTCTAAAAGATATGCACTAGCCCAACTATATGTTGTGGGCATGATGCTGAAATTATTGGGTGATGTTCTTTGGTCTGCATTATGCAGAGGCTAGACCCTTAATGGTCCTTTTTGGACTGGACATCTATTGATCTATGGAGGAGTGGCAGTCTCAGTAATAACTTCCATTGCATTCTGCTTAATTTTTTTCAAATTTCCATCTCTTCCACTACTCCCCGTTTCCCTTCATTTTCATGAGCCTGAAGCTCAGTGTTGTATTCTTCCTATAAATGCCCAGAAAAGCCCACCCATTTCCTACCATCCTCTGCACCTAGTGAGACTCTCTGCAGAGCTGCCTGCCTTGTTTCCATAGAAACAAAAAGCACAGCAACATAGCCTGTTTCCTAGTGGTGCCAATCAAAGATGAAAGCATGTGAGGAGAAGCTCTTCCAGGCAGGCTGAAGAGGCATTAGAGGACCCACATAAATTCAGGTGATGGCCTCGTAGCCTGTGTGGGAGTAAGTGTGAAAACTACCAAGTGACCCATTTCCAGCTCAGAGCTTGGCATGCACACTGAACTGTACGAGCAGCCCATCAGGAATCCTCACATTCAGAGTGAACAATATAGCAGCGGTTTAGTGATGAGTATAGTGCCATAAAATATTACAATACTGGTTACTGTTGCAATCAGCACTACAAAGGGAACTGACATACACAAAAGGGGTGGTGAAATAAAACCCTAGTTTTGCATCTAGGGGCATGGTGGCTTAGAATTTGTATGTGTGTTTCTTGATATTTTGTGTTTAGTTTACATTTTCATTAGTATGATTACTGTCTCAGCGACCACTCAGGGGACTAATGTAATAGGAAATATGGGGCAAACTTCTGCTTTCAGCTACACTAGTGAAAATCCAGAATAATACTAGTAGCATAAGTTGTGTTCTGAGGCTTGTTGAAAATGACAGAAGAATTTCCTTACTGGTCTTCAAGTGTAGTTTAGTTCTGGACAGGGTAATACCACAAAATTAATGCTCGTGTTTAATCTCATCGGGTATGTCTACACTACAAAGTTAGTTCGAACTAACTTTCATAGGCGCTACACTAGCGCTCCGTTAGTTCGAACTTAATTCGAACTAACGGAGCGCTTAGTTTGAACTAGGTAATCCTCATTCCACGAGGATTAAGCCTAATTTGAATTTACTAGTTTGAATTAAGGGCTGTATAGACCCTTAATTCGAACTAGGGGGAGGCTAGCCCTCCCCAGGTTTCCCTGGTGGCCACTCTGGCCAACACCAGGGAAACTCGTCTGCCCCCCTCCCGGCCCCG